TCCTTGTACCAGGTCCCCCTCCGGTAGACCCCCTCCCCCCTCAGGGTCCGTCCCCTTCAGGTGTGTCCCAGGTAGACGCAGTCGAACCTGTAAAGGTCACTGGTGACTCTCTTGCTGCTGAGGGTGCTGTGCCTGGGGGTGCTGACTCTGGGGGTGCTGAGCCTGGGGGTGCTGCGATTGGGGGTGCTGAGCCTGGGGTTGCTGAGCCTGGGGGTACTGAGACTAGGGGTGCTGAGCCTAGGGGTGCTGAGCCTGGGGGTGCTGCGACTGGGGGTGCTGAGCCTGGGGGTGCTGAGCCTGGGGGTGCTGAGTCTGGGGGTGCTGAGCCTGGGTGTGCTGAGCCTGGGTGTGCTGAGCCTGGGGGTGCTGAGCTTGGAGGTGCTCCGCCTGGAGGTTCGTCTCTACGGGAGCCACTTTCTCCACGGGAGCTGCGCGAGTGGTTTGCCCAGCGCTGGAGGCGTGCTGCTGGTGCTGGAGGTTCTTCGGCTACTGAGGGTGCTGCTGTCGCGGGTCCCGGAGGTGCTCGTACTGGGAGTACTGGAGCTGCTGGGCCTGCGGGTTCGACTGGAGCTGGTGCTGCTGAGGGTGTTGGAGCTCAGACTACTGCTGGCGGTCCTGCTGCGGGTACTCCTGGTACTGCTGGAGGCTCTGGCGCTGCTGGTGGTGCAGCTGGAGCGGGTGCTCCTGCTGGGGGTACTAGTGCTGTACCTGTTGTGTCTGGCGTCGCCGCGCGGCCTCGACTGTACTTCGTTCCACTCCTGCAGCAGGTTCTTGGTCTTCCGCCTTCTACTGGTCCCCCTCCTTCTTTAGAGTGTCCACAGCCAGTCCCGTCACAGTTACAGTTGCAGCCTACCTCCCCTTTGCCTGCTCCTTCTCTCTACACTTGTCCTACTGGAGGTCTTACTGAGCGTCGTGAGCCTGCGTCTCGCCCTGCGTCGCCTGTCCGTGCTGCTCGCGCTAGTGGTCGTGGTTCGCGTCAGCGTCCTCCTCTTGTCCCTGGCATGCACAGGATGTCTCTGCGTCCGTCCACTTCTCCTCTGCGTGCCCCTTTGCCTTCTCCTCCTGAGTCCTCTCTTCCTTCACTTGCCGACCCGGAGTCGGACTCTCTCCGTGCTGCCAGTCCTACTGTCACTCGTCTCCTGGCTACTGTCGTCACTGACCCTTCTTTCGAGTCCACTGCTGCGTCTGCCCTAGTTGCTAAGCTCGTCGACTTTGCTGCTCGCTGTCGCCTAGACTACGCTGCTAGTCTTGTCCTCCGTCCGTCGGGGGTGAGTGTGCTCTTGGCACGGACGTCCTTGAGGACAGGCACGAGGAGTTCCAATGCTTGGCCGCTGCTTCACCTCATCTCGTGTCCGTACTACTTACCCCTGAGGGAGACCCGGATGCACTTGACATCCCGACTCCGCGCTCTTACGCGGAGGCGATAGAGGGTCCCTACTCTTCTCAATGGCAGGCAGCTATGGATGCAGAGATGGCTTCCTGGAAGTCCACAGGCACCTACGTTGACGCTGTCCCCCCTCCTGGGGCGAACATCGTCAGTGGCATGTGGATCTTCAGGGTGAAGCGGCCGCCGGGTTCTCCGCCTGTCTTCAAGGCGCGTTACGTGGCTCGTGGCTTCAGTCAGCGGCAGGGAGTTGACTACTTTCAGACCTTCTCTCCCACCCCAAAGATGACCACTCTTCGGGTACTGCTGCACGTTGCTGCTCACCGTGACTACGAGCTGCACTCTCTCAACTTCAGCACAGCTTTCTTGCAGGGCAGCCTGCACGAGGAGATCTGGCTGCGCCGCCCACCTGGCTTCACTGGGTCTTTCCCTCCTGGTACCCAGTGGAGTCTCCGGCGTCGAGTCTACAGTCTCCGCCAGGCGCCACGTGAGTGGCACGACACATTGACCCCTACGCTTGCGGCTCTTGGGTTTGCTCCTTCTACTGCCGACCCGTCGCTGTTTCTGCGCACCGACACTTCTCTGCCGCCCTTCTACATCCTCGTGTACGTCGACGACCTGGTCTTTGCCACAGCTGACACTGATGGACTCACCCACGTGAAGTCCGAGCTGCAGAAGAGACACACATGCATAGACCTGGGTGAACTGCGCAGCTACCTTGGCTTGCAGATCACCCGGGACAGAGCACGCCGCACCATTACCCTGACTCAGTCACACATGGTGCAGCAGGTCCTTCAGCGCTTCGGCTTCACGTACTCCTCGCCTCAGGCCACTCCTCTGCCTACTCGCCACTCGCTCTCAGCTCTGCCTTCGGATGAGTCCGTAGAGTCGAGTGGCCCGTATCCAGAGCTTGTTGGCTGCCTCATGTACCTGATGACCTGCACACGACCTGACCTTGCATACCCTCTTAGCATTCTCGCACGCTATGTTGCTCCTGGGAGACACAGACCAGAGCACATGGCTGCAGCGAAGAGGGTGTTGCGCTACTTGTGCAGTACGTCGAGCATGGGAATAGTGCTTGGAGGGCGGAGTCCAGTAGTCCTCACTGGGCACGCGGACGCTTCTTGGGCTGACGACCAGGCTACGCAGCGGTCGTCACAGGGTTACACCTTCAGCCTTGGTTCTGGCTCTGTTTCGTGGCGGGCTACTCGCTCGTCTTCTGTTCTCGGCTTCAGTTGTGAGGCTGAGATCTACGCCGGGGCCATGGCTGCACAGGAGCTTCGCTGGCTCACCTACCTGCTGACCGACCTTGGAGAGTCGCCTCGTTCTCCTCCAGTCCTGTACGTAGACAACAAGGCCATGCTGGCCTTGTGTCGAGAGCAGAGACTGGAGCACAGAACAAAGCACATTGCTCTCCGCTACTTCCTTGCTCATGAGCTACAGCAGCGTGGTCATTTGCGGCTTGCGTACGTGGCCTCTGAGGCCAACACTGCTGATGTCTTCACCAAGGCACTTGCGCCTTGTGATCATCAGCGCTTCTGCACCCAGCTGGGTCTTGTACCTGTCTTGCCTCACTTGCTCACCTCTTGACCTTGCTTGTACTGTTACATATATCTATACCTGCTCTTGCTTGTCTAGTCCTATATATATATATGTACTCCTGCATGTGAACTGGCCTTGTGGCCTTGAACTTGTGCTCGGAATGTGTGGTGACTTTGTGATCCACCCTGAGCTTGCTTTGCTTTGCTTTGCTTGACTGGTCTTGTGACCCCTTGTTCTCCCCCACTTTGCCTATGGGGGTGTGTCAGAACATATAGCTTGTGCTTATTGTGTAGGCCATAGTGGGGTAGCCCATAAGGGGTACAACCCAATTAGGGTTAGTACTTGTACTCAGTTCATTCATAGTTCATTCATTTTCTCGTTTCAATTTTCTCATATTATACCCTTCCGCATTTACAACAAGTCCTACCCATAGTTTAGCCTTGCAAAGATCCAAAGGGCTTTCTCAGCCCAACATAAACGACGTCGTATTCTTCGTATTGCCTCCTTACGACATCGCTTTGGTCGCAAAGCGACCGTGCGACGTCGCAATCTTCGCACGCGTCCGGACAGCCGTCCGGACTTTCAACGACTTAAAAAAATGTAACATGCCCTAAGAGCCTCCAAAAGAAGTGCGACCAAATGTAACCAATCATCCCATAATCGTCGATAAATACGACGAATGGAACAATTGGTCGTCACATACGACACCCAACACAATCGACGAGACATCACCCACCCAACCCAACACGTGGAAAAACAACACATACCAGTACTTTGAGTGAATGCTAAAATGGATCAGTGCTACAAAAGAGATGGTTCTGGTATGCTAAGGCAAGCAACGCTGCCCCAACAACGATCCCCATCTCAAATGCAGACCCGACACACTTTAACATCACACTGCTTCAACAAGCACACATGACTTTGTACAACACTGATACGGTACAAACAAACGACTCTACATATCACACACAGAGGCACACAAACACACACACACACACACACACACACACACACACACACACACACACACACACACACACACACACACACACACACACACACACACACACACACACTGACACACACGCACAGACTGGCACATATACAAACAAGCACAAGTACATACAGATAATAAAGGCGCAAATAAGAATTGAGTCACCATCGCTAGCCTATCCCCCTTTACCCTCCCTACACCCCTCCTTCCCTCCATCCTTTATCTCCCTCCCACCCCCTCCCTCATCTCCCTTCTCTGCCAAACAAAATCAAAGAATGCAGCTCACGCGCCCTGCGCAGAGCAAAAACAGAGAACGCAAAGCACACGCCCTGCACAAGAAAAGGGCAAAAACCAAGAATGTTCACACATTGTACAAAAAAATCAATTAAACATATAATGCTTCCCTATGAGGAGGCCAAGCAGGAAACGCAACTCACCCGCATAAAGCAAAAACAAAGAGAATGCAGCTCACACATGCACTTGAAATGAAATAACAAGAGTATAAAAAAGTTGTTGAAGAACGCACGGATCAATCAAAGACAAGCAATGGGAATTTGACAACTCACAGAGGTAAAATGGTGTGGCACCACAGTACTACGCCAACATGAGGCAATACCTTGCAGCCACCCTCACGTTCAACTTCACACTCACGCTCGCACTCACTCTTATACTCAATCTTGCACCCACTCACACACAAACACACAAATACTCTCAACTTTCTTAGACACTCTTAAAAACAAACACACAATCCTACACGCTCTCTCACGCGCTCTCTCACGCGCACTCTCTCGCACACTCTCACGCGCACTCTCATGCGCACTCTCATGCGCGCTCTCACACGCGCTCTTACGCGCTCTCACGCGCTCTCTCACGCGCACTCTCGCGGGCAATCTCACGCGCACTCTCACGTGCTCTCTCACACGCTCCCCACGTGTCTCTCACGCGCTCTCTCACACGCTGTCTCACGCGCTCTCACGCGCACTCTAACGCGCTCTCTCACGCGCTCTCTCACGCGCGCTTTCACAAGCTCTCTCACACCCACTCCCGCGCTCTCTCACGCGCTCTCTAACGCGCTCTCTCATGCGCTCTCTCACGCGCTCCCTTATGCGCTCTCTCACGTGCTCTCTCACACTCTCATGTGCGCACTCTTACACGCTCTCTCACACGCACTCTCACGCGCACACTCACGCGCACTATCACACGCTCTCTCATGCGCTCACTCACGTGCGCTCTCACGCGCACACTCACGCGCTCTCTCACGTGCACTCTCACGTGCTCTCTCATGCGCTACGCGCTCTCTCACGTGCTCTCTCACCTGCCCTCTCACGTGGCCTCTTACGTGGCCTCTCACGCGCACTCTCACGCGCTCTCTCACGCGCACACGCACTCTCACGTGCTCTCATGCGCACTCTCACACGCTCTCTCATGCGCACACACTCTCACGCGCTCTCTCACGCGCACTCTCACGCGCACTCTCATGCGCTCTCTCATGCGCTCTCTCACGCGCACTCTCACGCGCACTCTCACGCGCTCTCTTACGTGCACACGCACTCTCACGTGCACTCTCACGCGCTCTCTCACGCGCTCTCTCACGCGCTCTCTCACGCGCTCTTTCACGCGCTCTCTCACGCGCTCTCTCACGCGCACTCTCAGGCGCACTCTCAGACCGTCACGCGCTCTCTCACGCGCGCTCTCGCGCGCACTTTCACGCGCGCTCTCGCGCGCACTCTCACGCGCACTCTCATGCGCTCTCTCACGTACGCTCTCTCATGCGCACTCTCACGCCCTCCCTCACGCGCTCCCTCACGCGCTCTCTCACGCGCTCCCTCACGTGCGCACTCTCACGCGCACTCTCACGCTCTCTCGCATGCGCACTCTTACGCGCACACTCTCACGCACACTCTCACGTGCTCTATCACGCGCTCTATCACGTGCTCTATCACGCGCACTCTCACGCACAATCTTGCGCACGCACTCTTAGGCGCTCTCTCACGCTCTCTCTCACGCAATCTCTCACGCAATCTCTCACGCTCTCCCTCGCGTTCCGTATCTCCCCTTCTTAAAATGAAAGTGCAATGCAAGAGGAGACCAATTGACACAGTAAATTTACGAGGAGAGCAGAAGATTTAGGAAATTTCAGCGGGGGGAGGGAGGATGAAAGGACCGGGACACACCTAATAACCACGGTGCCTCAGCAAACAATCCGCGCTGGCGTGTCACAGTAGTAGCACAAGTGGGGGCTAGATTTAAGTGAGGGCCTAGGCTTAGTAGCCTAGGCCAAGGGGAGTCGAGTGAGTTGTGGCAAGGAGGAGTGTCGAGAATGGTAGTGTTCACTATAGCACGAGGGTATATATAGCAAACAAATGAAGAGGTGCACCACCTACAAAGTCAATAACTACACTACTGCTAGAACTACATGCAGTTATAACAACATAATTCTGACACGGCGCACCAACCCGCGCTCGCGCTCCAATTCGCACTTGCGCTCCGGGCACCTGTCGCCGGAGGCGACAGCGGGGAGGAGGGAGAGGCGACGGCGGGGAGGAGGGAGAGGCGACAGCGGGGAGGAGGGAGAGGCGACGGCGGGGAGGAGGGAGAGGCGACGGCGGGGAGGAGGGAGAGGCGACGGCAAGGAGGAGGGAGAGGCGGCGGCGGGGAGGAGGGAGAGGCGGCGGCGGTGAGGAGGGAGAGGCGACGGCGGTAAGGGAGGGAGAGGCAACGGCGGGGAGGAGGGAGAGGCGACGGCGGGGAGGAAGGAGAGGCGACGGCGGGGAGGAGGGAGAGGCGACGGCGGGGAGGAGGGAGAGGCGACGGCGGGGAGGAGGGAGAGGGGATGGCGGGGTGGGATGGAGAGTGGATGGCGGGGTGGGAGGGAGAAGCGATGGAAAGGTGGGAGGGAGAGGCGATGACGAGGTGGGTGGGAGGGAGAGGCGATGACGAGATGGGTGGGAGGGAGAGGCAATGACAAGGTGGGTGGGAGGGTGAGGCAACAGGTGGTGGGGGAGGAGAAGCGATGACAAGGTAGGAGTGCCAAACAAGAAACTGCAGTAACCGAACTGGGAAAGGGGGGAGGAGGCATGAAACACAACACGAAAAAGACGATGGGGCAAAACGAAAACACTTAACAGAATTTGCACACCTTCCAGAAAGACCACGCATGAAACCTTAATGTATCGAAACCCGAAAACGATGGGGCAATCCAAAAGCCAGAACAGAACTTGGGCACTTGGAAACTTAAAACCAAAAACCAAAACGCTGGTGCCACGTGAAAACACACGCATGATCACGTGAAATTTGTGTGACCTGGAAAACAACTCATTTTGAACCAATATATTTTTCCACACTTTTGCTAGAGCAAGAACCTGATGGTTCAATGTTACAATATATCACATTGAGAAAGCTTGCTTTCTTTTTTATCAATTGGCATCGTTCTCATTACAAATGGCTTATTACAACATTTGCATCAACGTTGAACACAAGCTAGTGCAATCTAATAACACTAGCTAAGATGTACCCTATCCAAGTGGCATTAGCAAGGCGGTTTACTCTGGGGTGGGTGGTGGGAATTGTGAAAGTTTAGAAGGAAGAAGAGGATTGCACTAGCAAGAATGGGGATACAAATAGCAAACCCTAGAAGGGTTGTACTCGCTATAGAGCACCCCACTATAGGCTAGAGCATAAGATAACATTCTGACACACCCCCATAGCCAAAGTGGGGTGTAATCAGCAGAGCAAGCAAAGCAGTACAAGCTCAGGGTGGATCACAATGTCACCACACAATCTGAGCACAAGTTCAAGAAGCAATAGTTTAAAGGGTACAATTATGAGCAAAGCTAGTGGTAGTCACAACGGGCAAGCGAGGAGGAGGAAAGAGAGTGAGAGGAGAGGAGATAGGAGGCGACGGCTAAAGCTGCAGACACACGGGCAACAGGAGGCAGACTGGCACAGCGGCTACCGGACGAAGTCCCCGGAATACAGGAGTAACAGGCCCCGCGGCTAAAGTAGCGGCAGACGAGCAACGGACCCACGGGCGGCTGGCACAGCTGGCTACGACTGGGCTACCGGACGAAGTCCCCGGAATACAGGTGCTGCTGGCGACACGACGGCAACCTCCATACAGCTTCCCCAAACTATCCCACTCCCCCTGGCACACACCCGCTGCTACACCGCTAGCTCCACTCCCATGCACCCCCCTTAAACCCTAAACCCCAGTCTCCCACACATCCACCCCCCTCAGCGACAGCTGCAGCAGTGGGAGACAAAGGAGGAGGAGGAGCAAAGGGAGGAATGCAGAAGTGCCACCCCCATACTCGCCACCCCCTACTCGCCACTCCCCAAACCCTAACACAGGCAGGGCGGGATGGCGGGTAGGGAGGTTACGGGGGAGGGGGGGAGGGGGGGGGGGGAAACGACGCGCGGCCTCCCAGGGCGCCAAGACAGACAGCAGAAGGGGCGGCGCTCGCCCCCCTCCCCCAGGTGCGGCCCCCGAGGGTCGCCTCGACAGGCGATGGGAAAAGGGGGCCGCAGGCGGGGCCGGGGCCGGGGCCGGGGCGCAGGTAGGGCGATGGGGCCGGGGCGCAGGTAGGGCGTCGGGGCCGGGGCCGCAGGCGGGGCCGGGGCCGAGGCGCAGGTAGGGCGACGAGGCCGAGGCGCGTGCCCTCGGTGCGCCGTGACGGGTCCCCGTCGCCCGTCGCGGCGCCTCCAGAGGGCGACGCGGCGAACGACGGGGCAGAAGCCCGTCGCGCGCCTCGGGGCGCACGGCGAGCAGAAAACCGCCGCGCGCCTCGGGGCGCACGGTGGGCAGAGAACCGCCGCGCGCCTCGGGGCGCACGTCGGGAAGAAAAAACTGCCGCACGCCACGGGGCGTGCGGCACAGAGAGTAGCAGTAGTAGTTGCAGCGGAAGCAACGAGGTGGTGAGCCCACCCACAGGATCGATCCAAGGGGATCGACCTGCTCTGATAGCATGTGAAAGTTTAGAAGGAAGAAGAGGATTGCACTAGCAAGAATGGGGATACAAATAGCAAACCCTAGAAGGGTTGTACTCACTATAGAGCACCCCACTACAAGCTAGAGCATAAGATAACATTCTGTCAGGAATGTTGAGTGAGCCGTTTGAAAATCGAGAAACGTGGGTGGAGGAAAATCAACTCCAACCCACGGTTTTGTAGTTGGAGGAGGGCGTTTAGCGCACTTCGACGATGCCAATGGTGCAGTACAAGCAGCTTCGCTTTCACAATACACAATTAAAAAAAACACAATGTGTGTTTAAAAATTATAATATTGAAGATATAAAGCATAGTCGTTCATATTAATTAATACACAAAATCAATATTATGATATTTCACCCAATTTTCACAATGAAATAATAAATAATCACATTATTCCATAATCAAGAACTAATGAGCTTGTCATATTTCTTAACACATGAAAATTAAACTTGGTACTATATAAATGCATTAAATTGCATATCCTCATGTTTTGTAATATATGAATGTAACGTCTACGCAACCCTTCCGACGTTAACGTCTAATCTTGTATCTAGTTTGCAGGGAAGGAGGGATGCGATACAGTGCTTGCTTACTACCGTAAGGATGCCAGGACTACATGACTTCTAAATATTCCAGTGATATTCCAGTGATATTAGGTGTAATTCCTAATGAGCACATGCAAGCTTAAGTAGGCAACTATGTGCACACTCCTCACACCACACACAAACCCAAACACAAAACCACACAGATGCACACACGCAATCTCACAGTCAGTGTCACCATTGAATGGACTAAAGGGCAAGGGAGAGAAGGGAGAAAACAGAAGCGATAGGTGGGTGAGGAAGAGAGGAAGAACAAACTAGAAGGAAGGCATTTCTCATGGCAGTACTTTCACACCCACTGCTCCTCCTTTTTTCATGGCATCACTTCAACTGCAGATTTAAGCAACTGCCTTATTTCCTTCAAAAGAAGCATCACTTCATATGGTGGACTGAGTTGCTGGTCTTCATATAAGCATCACACGACCATAGTAACTAGCGGACACACATGAAAGACAGCATGTCAGCTGATGTGAGTCTGTCGAGGGGCACGCAAAGGAAGAAACGGGTAGATGCAGAGAAACGTGAGAGCACACATGAGGAAAAGCGGGTGTGTATGGGATAGAGATGCGTCTAGAGTCAATAACGATTTTGAAGCAGAGCAGGAATGAGACAGATGTATGTTAAACATCAGATTGGGTGTAATAAACGGGTGCAATGACTTACGAGACACCCGTGGCAGCGATGCTGGCGAGTGACAGGTAGGGCAGCTGAACCACCAGTGTAACGCAGTTGGCGTAGCGATACACGTTGACAGCCTGGCAGCCCCCCGCTCCTCCCGGTGCCTGGTCCACCTGCCAGTACGAGCAGACATTGAGGCCGATCATCGAAGGCAGGTTGGTGCATCCGGAGTATCTCACACGCATGGTGTAGGTGTAGGGCGTCAAGGCATATCCACGCTGGTTATAGAAGGTGAGACTCGCAAAGGACACGGTTGGGAGGGCGCCTGAAAGACAAACAGGAAGTGGGAGAACAGAAAATCAGGGTATGGGGTGCGGCATGGGGTATGGGTCTAGGGAGGTATAGGTTTGACATGGATGGATGCAACATTGATGAATAAACCTGGCTAAGCCAGCACCTTAATTATTCAAAGAAAAATCAATGGTTATAATTGAATACAAGCATAATGGCCTTACCACGGACGCAACCAGTGGGGGCCATGCCAAAGCCAGGAGGGCAGACACAGTAAGGAGCCTTTCTGGTGGATGAGACGAGCGTGCATGTGGCCAGGGACGGACAGTTGCCACATGTGGCAGGTCCTGGTAAGCGCAGGGTGGTGAAATCAGGCAGTGCGACAATGTGAGAGCAGGCAAAGTAGAAGGCAAAGCTGAAGAGTGCATGTGGCCAAGGCCAAGCAGTTGCCACATGTAGCCGGCCCTGGTACATGCAGGGTGGTGAAATGATGGGAAGATGTGAGTGCGATAGGTAGGAGAGCGGCTGGACTAGAAGAGTGCATGTGGCCAGGGATGGATAGT